GGTCTTTAAGCGCGCCCGCTCGCGCTCACGCGCGCTCGTACGGTTTCATAGGTCCACAACACGTGTAGTCAATTGGAAGGAAAAAGAGGAAGCCATAAGAATTATGGGTGTGAGACCAACACAAAAGACCATAAAGACATGCTAGTGGAAAGAGTCATGGGGAGCACATAAGATGGCATGGGATTTATATTTCATGGGTAGGAAGAGTTTTATCTTCAATACAATTACAGCAACCGTCTTGTGGCTCATCGTGGTTATTTCCAACCCCCATGACGATTTATAAAATGGCTTATGTAGCAGCAACGCCCGTGACCCTAGAAGCATAAGAACCGGATCCACTATACCCCCCCCTGGGCCCAACTGAAGAGAAATGAATAACTGAACCCTCAGAGACCAGCAGAGGAGCTGATGAGGATAAGAGTGGCGGGTGATCAGGAAGAAGGAGACCTCGTACAAGCGTCATGATCATCTCATGGGTCTTTGTCACAATGCATATTGCGGAAGGAGGCATTGCAATTCTTGGGTACACACAGAAAGAGAGACAGAGCACAGGACCGTTTTCGACCACGTGTATGCATTGGGGTCATTTTTCTAGTGAGATCAGGAAGACACTTGACTTGTTGGATTGCGTGTCAGAGTTGTCACGATAGGGAGTGCATTGTGAGCTTGGGAACACACGTGTTGGATTGTGCGTCGAAGTGTTCGCCGTGATGCACCGACATCAGACCATTACTTGAACACGGTTTGCATGCTGAACCGATCAAGCGTAGGAGCAGCTATGTCCATGTGGACGCGAAACGCTGCAGTGCAGCCTGACGGAGGCGAAGAAGCAGCGGACGGTTTGTGTGTAGGAGCGGGCATGGAGGTTTGTATTCCGGGTGAGGCCCAGTCCCCTCTAAATGTTAGGGCCGTTTCTGATTCTTGTGACCGGTGGGTTGTTTGTCTTCAAGTTTTTATGGCGCATGGAGGCTGGATGGTGGAGTTGGGGGCCTTCAGGGTTGGGCATGATGGGGGATAAACATGGGGCGGGGTGGTGGCCACGGTGAGGTGTTCAGGGTGTATCCATGTGATTGGTGGGTTGTTTGTCTACTATGACGAAACAAATTTTGTTTATGGCGCATCAGGGGCCTATTCATGACCGGGCGAAAACATGGAGGCTGGATGGGGGCGTTGGGGGACTTCACGGTCGTTCATGATGGGGTATAAACACGGAGGCTGGATGGGGGCATTTGGGGACTTCACGGTCGTTCATGATGGGGTATAAACATGGAGGCTGGATGGGGGCGTTGGGGGACTTCACGGTCGTTCATGATGGGGTATAAACATGGGGCCGGGTGGCTGTCACGGCGAGGTGTTCAGTGTGTGTCCATGTGGCTGTGTGGGGACGGCACCCTACGCCTCCCCCTCCCCACACCCCTCACCCCCAAATGTCAGACGCTGTCAGTGCAAGGCGGTCCTCCGACCCATCCTGGGCAAGGTGCAGGTAGAAGTATCTTTTTGGCATCTGTTGGAGCCCGGATGGATACGACTACGTACATGTGTGTGCTGAGGGATCAGGTTGTGGCATAGTTTGCACTTGAACCAGTTTTAGCGCATATGTGGGGCGTGTGTATGTCCATTGCAATGGAAATTGCAAAAGGGGGCTTGTGTTGTGTACGCCGTCATAATTTGTTTGTACGTGTTGCCAGGTCACGCCAACCTTCGTGTGCATCTATTGGAGGCCGGATGGACGTGACCGTGTGGCTGTGTGTGTGGCCCTCACGTCCATCAGGCCCCGAATAAATGTTGTGGGACTATTCTGAAGTTGTGAGTCCTTCCCCCTCAAATGTTGAACATGGCCAGTGGTTTGGTGGCCGGTGGTTTGGTGGCCGGTGGTTTGGTTGTGGAATAGTCCCATAACTTCAGAATAGTCCCACAACTTCAGCATTGGGGGGGGTGGCCTACATGCCCCCCTCCACACACCTCTCTTGCCCCAAATGTTGGACATGGCAAGCCGTTTAGTTCTGCCATAGTTTGCAATTTCAGAATGTGCGCACTCGAACCAGCTTTATCCCCAATGCATGGTGCGCGTACGCCCGTTGCAACGGATAATTGTCCAAGAGGGCTCATTTGTGGATGTTGTGTGCAGTCACAATATATTTGTTTGCATGTCTTGCCAGGTTATGAGAACATTTGTTTGCATCTATCTCTGTGCAGTTGTTTTCAACTAGGTAGACAAAGCGTGCGTTATGAGCGACTGACAGCTGGGGAGGGTAGCAGGAAGGACGAGAGAAGGCAGAGGACAGTCGTGACGGTGTTAGGAGGAAGGCGACAACTTCCAGGAAGGCAAATGGTCGGAGGAAGAGTTTCCGAATCAACAAGCAAGAAAAAGACGGCCATGTGGGAAAAGGAGTGGCAACGACGAGGGTAGAGGAGATAAATATGTGTCACAAGGAGCAAGAAAGAGGGCCGATGAAAGATTGGAGACGATAATTGTACAAAGTAAAGAAAGATACGAGTAGTTAGAGAGGTTCTAAGATGAAGGTACAACTTGTATTCTGCTCTGCTGCTTTCTAAATATTTCTTGACAACTTCTATTCGAATGATTTCTGTATAAACTTACTTGTACAGTTCTACTACTTTCTAATAGTTGCGATGTGACCCTGAGGCAAAAGTTGTTCACTTTATTTTTCTGCATAACGTAGGATTTTTTTCGAATTTTTAGGATTTTTTTTTTGATTTTTTGGATTTTTTTTTGATTTTTTGGATTTTTTTTCTTTAGCTGGGACCTTCCCTGGTCCTTGCACGGCCGGGCTGCCCCGGAAAACAGGGTGACCCGGGCAGCACGGCTGGTAACCTGGCTTATCAACTATTTCTACTTTCTTTTTCAAAAACAAACGCCACAAGTCGAACATGAGACTTATTTTGGACCCTCATTGCGACGTTCATTCCCTTTACATGCAACAACAAGTCACTGCATAAATATTTGTCCATATAGTCAGTCCCATATATAGGCTACGTACTACGTAGCCGCCCAGGTCACAACTTGGTTGCCTGGACAGCCCAGTCTGGCAATGGTCATGGAAGGTCCCTGTTCAAAAAAAAAAAAAAAAAAAAAAAAAAAAAAAAAA